CCGCAACTGAGACTATTACTGCCTTCGAGAGGTGGGCCGCCGGCGCCTCCGATTCTCAGTTCAACGCACTTTCCGGTGCTGTGGGAGGCTTCACTTCGGGCGTGGTTACGTGCCCGCTCGACGTTATCAAGACCAAGTTGCAGGCACAGGGCGGTTTCAATCCCGTCGAGAAGGGAAGACATGTCGGACACCCAAAACTCTACAATGGCTTGCTGGGTACAGCCCGTGTCATATGGCGAGAAGAAGGCATACGCGGCATGTATAGGGGACTCGGCCCAATAGTACTGGGTTATTTGCCCACATGGGCTGTTTGGTTTACCGTCTACAATAAGAGCAAGGACTGGTTAAAGCACCGCCATGGTATGTTGGAAACCGCAGGCTAGAGACTAGGCCATGGACTGACTGAGTCGACTACAGAAAACACGGTGCTGATTAACTTTTGGTCATCCATTATAGCTGGTGCTAGTAGCACCATCGTCACAAACCCGATATGGGTCATCAAGACCCGCCTGATGTCGCAGAGCGTTGCACATGACCCGGGCAAGCACTACTCTCAGTTTCCGAGATCAGGAAATACTCCGACCTCGAGACCAACAATGCACAGCTCGTGGCATTACCGGTCAACCATGGACGCAGCACGCAAGATGTACACTTCAGAGGGCGTTTCATCGTTTTACTCGGGCCTTACTCCGGCTCTGCTAGGACTTACCCACGTGGCAGTCCAGTTCCCTGCGTACGAATACCTGAAGACGAGGTTTACCGGCCAGGGCATGGGCGAGCCGACCCAGGGCGACACACAAGAGTCACAATGGATGGGCGTGCTGGGGGCTTCGATATTGTCGAAGATCATGGCGAGCAGCGCTACCTATCCACACGAAGTTATTCGCACGAGGCTACAGACGCAACGAAAACCCGTAGGAGGGGCCGAGTATCTTCAGGGCCTGGAAGTCAAGATGTCTGCCTCCATGACGGGAGAAGATGGCAAGAAACAGCAGTTGTTATCACCAAAATATCGCGGCGTGGTCAGCACCTTCCAAACGATTCTCAAAGAGGAGGGGTGGAGGGCCTTCTACGCTGGCATGGGCACTAACATGATGCGAGCGGTGCCGGCTGCGACAGTGACGATGCTGACGTATGAGTATGTGATGAAGCACTTAAACCACGCAAGGGCCGAGGGCAAGCGGAAGCGGGAAAGGGGCAACACACCTGCTGAGCCCTGACCTGGGTAACTTGACAACTTGGGGGTGGCGTTATATTAAGACGGGGGAAAAGAATCAAGCAAGACACCATGTGCGGTTTAGCAACGATGGAAGAAAAGAGCTGTTGAGATTGTTAGTCAGGAGATAGGGATGGGATTTTCCAGATACCCTTAGCTTTGGTCGTCAGGTTTAGACAAAGTCGATTCAGGTCACGTAACAAACACAGCGTGGCTATCATTCATCTGGGGGACGGCCCCTCCCTTATCCCCCTTGTTCGTTACACCAATCTATCATAGATTACTATTTTCTTTTTCTTTTTTTCTACACAAACTTGACCACGGAGTTCACGACGGCCGACGGGGGCAGCATGATAGGAGCTTGTTTTCTCAATGATCAGTACAAAGTCTTGTGTAGTACTATATCTACTGGAGCGAAGTATTTAGGAGATATGCTTAACACGCTCACACAGCGCTGCAGAGAGACTGGCATGTTTTGTGTATTGATTTGGTATCTAGCAAATGCAGAGACGGAAGTAGTAGGGGGTATTAGTCACATAGAAACCACAAAAAAGCAGTAAGGCGATAAATATGAGACCGCAAAGCCTCGACTTTTCTTATTCTCCCATCTTGTGGTGAGAACGTTGAAAAACTCGGTAGCCACCAAGATGGCCTCGCCTGCCGCCTGTCCGGCGCGTACATGGGCGACGCTATGAGCTGGAATTCGGAGGTGACGGTCTGGGGTTACTGGAGCCGTTGCCGTATCTCTTGACGAGTGTTAGTAGCAGACCAATGAGACAGATGCAACGTAGGACGTAAGAACGGAGGGGGTTGGCTCAGTAAGACGAGGACGAGGGCAGACGTACGGCTTGATCACGCGCCGTGCGGATCGACGAGCGGGTATAGCTGTTTTGAGTCAGCATACATCCTGTCAACTACTGGAACTCTGGCGCGAGGCTCAGGAGAGACCAGCAGTTCTGCAACATACGCGAAGAGGATACACGCCATCGTAAACGCCGCCAACGGGGCCGTGATTGTCTACGAGGTGGGGAAGTCAGGAGGCATCCGATCAGAATCGTGGTGTGGGAATAAAGACTCACCTTGGGTGTCAGATTTCCTTTCCGCATTTGGAGATCATTCCCGGTTCTTGATAGGGTTCGTGTTTTGAGACGAAAGGAATGGAGAGGGGCTGTGTTGTGGGTTAGCAGTGCGTAAGTGTGTAAGTGAGGGTGGGATCATGGACGCGATGCGGAATGGGCTGATTGTGGTTAGACGTGGTCCGGGGTGGGTGTTTGCAGGTACCGGGATTATCAGTGCGATAGTTGCATATCTGGTCCATACAGTACTGGGCTCGTCCGAGCTGATTATGTGTTAGAGTAGCACGATGTGAGAGGAAAGAAGTCGAGCAAAGAACTGCAAAGGGTTTCGGAAGTTGACCTGGCACATGATTGACCTAGCCAGGCCTCACTTCTGGCTGATGTCAATGCGCCCTGAAACCGCGCCTCAAAGACATGATGCCCTGGTACGACATCATGTACACAGCTTTGTTGAAATAACCTCATGTCATTGTTCGTTGCGTCTCAAAGTCAGTAGGGAAGACACAACCATCGGCAGGAAAAGAGTGGGACCATTGAGAGAAGCTAAAAACTCGGGTGCGCGTGTCTACCTATGCTCTTGCTGCGCCAATCGAAAGGCACGTCGTGACGCTGCAGGTACGCTTCCTGAACTTCACGATAATCGTTACATACAACAGGAATCGCAAGAAATGCAAAAATACCGTAGTCTTGACGGCTACTTGTGACAAGAGTGGGATTCGAACCCACGCCAATTACTTGACTAGCACCTGAAGCTAGCGCCTTAGACCGCTCGGCCATCTTGCCTTGTGAGGATATTGATGACATCGCATTGGGTGGGGATTAAGTCAGGTTAGTAGCAGGGGTTACCTCGAAGGGGCTGGGATGACGGGGCAAAGACTAAGCTTCAGCATGTCATACCTATCATTTGTGTTATTGGGCTCGAATCGGGGATTCCGAACAACAGTTTGCAAAGACATGTGACATGTATATTACGCCTGCACTTGCGGACGCCTCCTGAGGAAGAACAACTGCATACCATCGGGTAGCTGGCTAGAGGTAGCGTATGGCCACTTCTGCAGAGGACAAGGCCCTTGGCTGATGGGCGTCTTGGTCGAGGGCCATCCGTTGCACGAGGCATTTGATCAAGCGACATGACTGATCAGAATAACAAATGATACAGCTCAAGGGACAATGTGTAGTCCATCTGATCTATCTGACTTTCTAGTGTACCATTTCTTTTTAAAGCTGGAATGAGCAAAGTTCTTCCACTTAAGCCGACTTTAACATCATCAGTCAGGCGCGGAAGGTTGGTCAGCGGGTGTCTAAATAATTGCATGGAGCCAGGCAATAGCTGCCCACTACAATCGTGCTGCTGCCCTTGAGGTCCAGACGAGAGGGTCCAGCTCTTAGTGAATGGCCAAGCGTTTGCGATACTTCGGAGAAGCGAGCTTCAACTAGCCGTGTCATCCATAATTTCGGTGAGTGTAGAATGAACTCGTGGCAGGTTGTACTGTTGGGACATGAAGTTGGTAGCCACGTACAGCTCTGGTGTCAACCAAGGCGTATGCTAGGTTTATCGACAAGGCTACGCGGCGAGGGTGGGGTGTCTTGATATACCCAGCTTTTCTCAATATCGACGATGGTGAACCAAGTCAAAAATCTAGGGAGTAGCAGAAGCTATATGCAAGGGTTGACTGGGTGTTGGTGAAAGGAAGACTGATGTCAAGTGTAGCGCGAGGGCTCGAGTAGGGCAAAAATCAGGGACGCAAGTGATGTAAGAAACAATAGAAAGTTTGTGTAACCCCTCTGATTCCCCTCACTTGAGACAGAAGAACTCCAGCGGTTAGCTTTGACAAATGCCGACCGAAAGCAACCAGACAGCACCACAAGGAGATGTTGGTAGACAACGAAGTAGGTACATATGCAGATAAACAATCTACTTAGATAGAGGGTGGATGACCCAGCGCAAAGGACTAGCACTGCCACGCGATGCCACCGGAATCGAGCCCAAGCGAGGTACGGAGCCGAAAAGAAAGACATTCTGAACATTGCCATGCTGACGAGAGAGCGAATTTATCGATCGTCAAATCTCGATGGCAGCGGCAATGACAATGAAGAAACCGACTGTGGACGGTTGCCCTGAGTGTAGTGTGAAACCATGCAATTTCACCTGGGGGGCTTTAAATTCAGTAATCTGGTGTTTCCCCCACACGAGCCCGGTGGGCGCCAGTACGTGCGTTCCCTCGCAGAGGCCAGACCAGGTTGGAGTCAAGGAACGCACGGCCAGTGGTCAAAAGCTTACCTGCAACCTGAACCAGGATGCGAGTGGATGGGAAAAGAAAATGGTGGTAAACTAGCACCCGGTTGACAAAAAAGATAGCACACCTAAAGTACTTTCTTACACCACATCTACCCCAAGACTATTAACAAGTGTTTTTTTCTTATGCTAACACAGCCACAAGACGCAGTTAGGATATAGGAAAAATATATCTAATAGTAGGTAGAACATACTGGCATTAATTCTAACTATTTTATGTAGGTATATCTATGTATTTAGTGTTGTGCTGTCTATAATAGTGCAGGGGGTGTTTAGGTGTGCCATCTTTTTTGTCAACCGGGTGACTAGGTAGTTCAGGAAGAGGCGGGAGCTCGGCGGCCACGAAAACACGACCCGGTGGTGGGTGGGGGACCCAGACACTCAGATTCCGGGCCAGCGCCCAGCACCACTCACCATGCACACACGTTGGCACGACAGCACCACCCCCTTCCCCTTCCCCTTCCCCTCCCCTTCATCCTCGCACGCCAGAAACAGCAACGGCTCCTCCTGCTGCCCTTGCTGCTCGCGGCGACCGAGCTTAATAATTAGCCTGAGCCTGAGGGTCCGCACCACCGCACCGCAAACCGCAGGACATCTGCATCGCATCAGCCCCCTGGTCCCGGCTGAAGCTCTGGCCATGGCCGCCGATGATTGGCTCATCCCGAGGATGTCCTCTTGAACCTCCTGTTTACCCTCTCAACTTCCTTCGACTCTTGTAACCCCCTCTCATCTGTTGCAATTTCACCGGCCTTTTACATCGCACCTGGATCGCATCATCAGCGCAACACCACTATCCAACTGACCCATCCTTTGCGATCCCCATTGTATCCTTGTTTCCCCAAAGCATAGCATCCCATCAGAAGCAGACGCCATGCCCGTCGAGCTCCGCAAGCGCAAAGCCCCCGAGCCCGCCCCAGCTCCAGCCCCCAAGAAGGCCTCCTCCAAGATCGCCAAGGCCGCAGAGAAGGTTAAGGGCGCCGTCAAGGGCAAGGCCGACAAGCCCGCCGACAAGTCCGCCGACAAGCCCGCCGAGGAGGCCGTCGAGAAAGTCGTCAAGGAGCCCGCTGCTGCCAATGGCTCTGACAAGAAGGTCAAGGCTGTGAAGGGCGAGACGGTCGACCTCGACGGCTTCGGCGGCGAGATCGAGACCAATGACGGCGAGAAGACGACTCTGAAGGAGCTTGTTGACAAGAGCAAGGCTGGCGTTGTGCTCTTCACTTACCCCAAGGCCTCGACTCCCGGATGTAAGTATCTCTCTGGATCAACACTACTCGGCAGTCCTGCCCACTAGTCGTGCTAACTGGCCGTGTGATACCCAGGTACGAAGCAAGCCTGTCTCTTCCGAGACTCGTACGAGCCTTTGACCAAGACGGGCTTTGCCATCTACGGACTGTCGATGGACTCTCCCAAGGCTAATACTACCTTCAAGGAGAAGCAGAAGCTGCCTTACCCGCTTCTCTGTGACCCAAAGGCCACCCTCATCAGTGCTATCGGGCTCAAGAAGCCGCCCAAAAGCACTCAGCGCGGTGTTTTTGTCGTCGACAAGGCTGGCAAGGTCCTCATCGCTGAGCCTGGCAGCCCCGCCGGCACCGTCGAAGTTGTGACAGCGCTGGTCGAGGGCGGCAACGTCGAGGGCGCTGCTGAGGCTGCCGCCGAAGCCGCTGCCACGGATGCCAAGGAGGAGGCGCCCAACGGCGAAGCAAAGACCGACGAGGAGAAGAAGGAAGATACCGCTGACGGAGCCGAGAAGAAAGACGAGCGATTATAGTGCTGCTATGTAAATGTAATCTGTGGCGGAAAACGCGTTTGCAATTGGAATGGCCGGGTAGGACATGGTTCGAATTTTCTTGTATCCGTATAGTAAGTAGTAGCTGGGGAATTGATTAAGTGGCGTTGGCCTTTGACGCACGACACTCCGCTCCACTGACATGCCGTGATACATCGTACATCATTTCGTGAACTCCAGGAAGCTTTGGCATAGGTAGCAGTATTGCAGCATTGGGTTGCAAGGGGAAAAGGGCGAAGTGGATACTCACGAAAGTCGGGTTGCAAATCGAAGCACGGCTATTGCTACGACCGGCAAAACCTCGGCCGCCCCGGTCCTTGCCAGAAACTGGAGCACTCTGGACAACCCAGGCGTCCGGAACGCTCATATCCAACCTCAAACAGGTCATCGAACCGTCGCCAATTGAGCCCCCAAATCTCCCCTCTACCGTTCACGACGTCGCCCAAGATGGCCTCAAAGGCAGTTGCGAAGGCTGCCGCAGGCGGTGTTGTGGAAATTTCCAAGGTACGCCCTGCACGATGCGCTCAATTGGCGGACCATGTTTCCCGCTCCCAGCAGCCAAGCAAGGAAAACCACCGTCGCCAGCCCGTCCCGACGATCACGAAACGATCCAATTGGCACAGCAGCTGACCTTCGTCCCTCCAGAAACACACCCTTCAGTCTCAAGGCGTCTGGGAACGCATCCGCCGCTCCCTCGCCATCGACCCCAACCGCTCCTCCGGCGTGCCCTTGAACCCGACCTTCCGCAACCCGACACCCGGCGCCCTGAACCCCCTCAGCTACGACGACCCCGTCACCCTGCCCGCGGCCGACATCGCCGACAACCCGTACTGGAAGCGCGACGCTCGTCGCAACTATCCAGCCATCAGTGTCGTCAACCAGGCCGACGTTGTCGGCTTGCTCTCGGTTGGCTCCGCTGCCAGCCCGCGCGTTGAGCTCATCGGCGAGGCCGGCGAGAAGCAGCTCGTCGCCGCCCGCGAGGAGGCCGCTTCCACGGGCTTGGCGCCCTACCTTGAGAAGAATGCCGCCAAGGCTATCGAGGCGAGCAAGGAGGCCCTCTTCACCAACGGCCTTCCGCCGACGCCCAGCGGTCAGGACCTCAAGAGCGGAGCGTGGGACGTGCATAAGTACAAGGTCAACGAGGAACAAACCTACGGCGAGAAGTGAGTTTCTTCTGGCGCGGTATCTTTTTTATTGTTCATGGTTTGGTGACAACGGCCTTTGCTAATATGATATGTAACAGCTACCCCTGCCGGACTTTTGCGTAAGCATAGGACATGCGGGTTTTTTTCTGGCTGTACAGGAGGGAAGGGCGAATGTAAATATGAAGGGCACTAGATTCCATTATACGTTTTACTTCTTCAAATCCTGAGTCTAAGGAGTATTTATGTCTTGCTGTCTCTAGCCTATTCACCCGGTGGGTATTTCGGCCCTTCTTAATCCTAACCATCCATTCGTGGGTAAAGCCCGACGATCCTTGACAACACCGTCCCATGCTTTCCAGATGCATCCCCCCTTTCATACCTCTTTGGCCTCCGCTACCTTTGAATCGGCAGCCGCCTCGCCCGTCATGCGCTCGATGATCTTGACCTTGCCCTGCGCCCTCTTGAGCCTGTCGTCAAAGTCGTTGACGGCCTCGTCGCTGTTCTCCCTGGCCAGCGTGTCCGGCTCGACGAGCGCGAATGCCGCCGTGACGTTCTTCTCGAGCCTCGTATTGCTCGCCAGCGGCGGCAGGGAGCATGCCTCTTGCCGCCGTGGCGCCCCCGCGGGGTCTCGTGGTGATTGTGACGAAGAGTTTGAAGGGTTTGCGGCGCCGCTCTTTTGCGGCAGGGACAGCCGGTTTGCCCACACGACGGAGCGGCCGTGTATCCTGCCGCTCTCGAGAAACTTTTCATAGCCCTTTGCCAGGCCGACGGAGCGACCCTCGATCTTGCCGGCCTGGATGCCATCCTCGGTGCCTTGGCGGTAGCCCTCGGCGAAGAATTGGTCCTCGAGGGTAAGGACGTCGTCGAAGGGGTCCAAAGACATTTTTTATGAGCTTTTGATAGATTTAGAGGGTGAAAAAGAAAAAACCTCCCCCCCAAAAAACCGTTGCTTCTACGTAGCTTTTGGATTTTGACACAACGTCTTCTGTTGTGAGCCGTGGCGGTGGTGAGCGTAGTCGGGAAGCGGATAGAGGGGTGGTTTGAAATAATGGCGGGGCAAATCTGTAAAGTTTGACTCAGCGGTCTTTTTGCAGTGATATTCTACAAACCGACCTTCACACTTGACGACAAAGGGCCAACCGGTACCAGCCTTCAATTTAAAAATGATATTTTGTTTTATCCCCATTGATAATCATCAAAGCTCAGAATTCTCGGTTACATTATGCAAACGAATATAGGAAATAAGATTTCTTGGTCGATCTCATAACGAGCCGTCATATGCACATCATTCATATCATCCCCAACCACTAATCACTGCATGCCGAGCACCATACCGCCATTAGCACAAACAACCTGCCCTGTACACCACGCCGACTCGGGCGAGACAAGCATGCCCACGATACCGGCAATCTCCTCGACGTACGCCGGCCGGCCGCCATCCTCCCTGGCCGCATTGACGAGCTCGTCCGAGTCGACGCCCTTGCGCGCCTTCATCAGCGGGGTGTGCTCGATGTAGCTCTTGAGGAAGCGCTTGAACTCGGGCGTAGTGCCGCCGTACATATCGGTCAGCACGGGGCCCGGGTTGATGGCGTTAACGGTGGCGTTCTCGCTGAGCTCGCGGGCCCAGGTGCGGGTCATGGCATCGAGGGCGGCCTTTGTGCCGCCGTAGACGGTCTGCCCTGGGAGGCCGATCGACGCGCTGACGGACGACATATTGACGATGCGGCCGCTACGGTCGGTGGGTAGGTAAGGCTGGACGGCCTGGACGAGAAGCAGCGGGCCGAGGACGTTTACGCGGTAAGTGATGTCGAACTGCTCGACCGTGACGTTCGGCAGCGGGTTGTTAAGGGCGACGCCAGCGTTGTTGACGAGCACGTCAACCTGGAATTTGCCGTTGTTGAGCTTCTCGAAGTGGGACTTCGCAGTCGCAACGAGAGACTTGGGACCCTCAATGGTGCCCATGTCAGCCTGGACGGCGAGAACCTGGATGTTGTGCTTTGTCTGGAGGTCTACGGCGAGCTTGTCGGCGGGGGTCTTGGAGGAGGGGGAAGTGTAGCCCAGGACGAGGTTGCAGCCCTTTGCGGCAAGGTTCTCAGCGACGGCGACGCCAATACCTGAAATAGGGGTTGGTCAGAAGTGCTCCATGTGCGCAACGCGCTTTGGTTCGGCATTATGAGCTCTTACCTCGAGAGGCGCCAGTCACAATTCCGAGCTTGCCTTCCAGGAAACGAGACATTCTGTAGTATTTCGCTACGTGGAGTTGAAGCTAAGAAGTCAGGTATGCACAACGAAACACGGTCACAGTAAGATATACCTCAAGTGAGAAGACAGGCAGGTAAAGATGAAGAGCACGAGGTCAAAACGGGGGAGCGAGGAAACGAGTGGACGGGAGCCTCGGGATTTATAGATACGTGAACCAACTGTCCAGCGGCAACCAGAACCCTAAAGACGCAATTGTCCTGAACGGCCGGAATGGCCCGAACGGGCAATGCGAGCAATCAGTTAAGAGACGAGGAATGGACACATGCTGCCCAATGGAGCGAGCTCGTCACATAGATCCCGGGAGAAATTTGGGTTGATGTAATTCGGAGTTCCTGGGTCAAAGCTACCCCACTGTCTCAACTCCCCTGAGAAAGTTGCCCCGCGCCTCTCGCGGTGGACTTCCAACCGTGTGTCCCCCACACGTCATTCTCCCGCTCCAATCCCGGACCAGGGCTTGCTGTGATCGGATAGGGGTCTCTGCTTCTGCAACTGCCAGGTCCTCCGGACCATTGTTAAGGAATGCTAGGCACGTTAAGACCTTGATGGGGGATTGGTGGTTTTAACGAAGGAGACCAATGTATTTTTATTTTAACATGGAAATGCCGTTAGAAGAAGAAGACGAAGGCCACATACAATGTGAAGTAGTAGCCGTCTTGCCTGAGGTAGACATGTAGCAACAGTTAGTTATTACATGAGCGTCCAGTCAGTTTCCTTCCGAAAAGTCAGCTAGGTAGTTCGGCATATTTCATAAGATTGTTTGCAATCAGGGAAATATTGCTTGTCGAATTAGGTGGACAGGCTACTATATGGTAGGTAGTTTATATGTCTTGAGTCTGGACTGGAAGCAACTGATGCCGCGACCTGAGCTCCTACAACCCGCTACGAATTGCCAGAGATGAGAACCCAGCTGGTCGAGTGGGGCTCAACTTCTACAACACACTAGAAAGCCAACTTCAAAGTGACACAAAGAGGAGACCAGAAGAAGGCATTGCTGCTCTGTTGGTGTGTTTTAATTTCCAACGCTTGAAACAGTACACCAATACTGAGGACGATGTGGGCTCTGCAAAGACACACAGATGAGCGCTTTTGAAGTTTCTTATTACTGTACATCACAATTGGCGGGGTACCGCTGAGCAACCCTCGGAGCTTTGTGCTGGTGGGGTCTGTGACTGCCGCCACCCACGGCCAGCTTACCTCTCGGGTCAATGACCAGGGTCTTTCTAAAAGTCTACCTCCCCTCTCCAGCGTCTGTTATCACCCAATTCGCAACCCGCACACACGCCCCTCCTCTCAGCCTTGCGCGCCCACCCGCACCAGTCGGCCCTGTCTCTCATTCTCGAACGATTTAATATCTCCTCAATTCGAGCCTTCCACCGTAGCCCCCTAGAAATCCCGCGATAGAGACTTGCCCGCCATGGATATCCGCCTCCTCAAGTCCTCCGACCTCCCCCTCATACAGCACGCCAACCTCGAAAACCTACCCGAGAACTACTTCCTCAAGTACTACCTCTACCATGCCCTCTCATGGCCTCAACTCAGCTATGTTGCTGTCGACGTCTCGCGTCCGAAGCGCACCCCCTACGACTACCCCAAGATCGTCGGATACGTTCTGGCCAAGATGGAGGAGGAACCCGCCGACGGCGTGCCTCATGGCCACATTACCAGCATCAGCGTCATGCGCACCCACCGCCGGTTGGGCATTGCCGAGAAGCTGATGCGCCAAAGTCGTACGTTGCACCCCTGCTTCTGCTTCTTTCTACCTGTGGCCTTGTCGGCACCCCTACTAACCGTCATCAGAACTCGCCATGGTCGAGACTTTCGGCGCACAGTACGTCTCCCTCCACGTCCGTGTCTCCAACCAGGCCGCCATCCACCTCTACCGCGAGACCCTGGGCTTCAAGACGGAAAAGACGGAGAGCAAGTACTATGCCGATGGCGAGGACGCCTTCTGCATGAAGCTCGACCTGAGCTACATCCGCGAGCAGATCCAGGACGACCGCGAGCGCGAGGAAGAGAAGGACGGCGAGGCTGTTGACGAAGGCGAGGCTGTCGGGGATGTCGGCCGCGACCCCAACGCTACTGCCGCCGCCGCTGATAAGAAGCGCAAGGTCAAGGTCGGTCGCGGCTTGGGCGTTGGCGAGTTGGTCGAGAAGAACGAGAGCAAGAACTAGGAGTCTGACTCTCCGCATATGCAAATCGCTAAGGGTTGGCTGCATCAGAGTGACAGAGGCATTGACGTTAAGCGCGGCGGACCTGGTGCTTGAGAAAGCAGCGGTGGTGCATGCAGTAACACTGGCGCGGGAGAAGTTGTTGGTATCACTAGATGCTGACAACGTTGTCCTCAGAGTTGGGTGCTACGTTTTTCACTCAAGCCTCTGGAGATTATCTGGGTTCCTAAGGGAATCATTACGAAGAGCATAGACGAGACGCACAGCTCCGTCGGCAGATGGTCGGCATGTCTCTACGAATCATAGGGGGAGTCCAAAAAGCCTCAAAAGAGAACTACGATGGGACGCAATGCATCATAGCACGGTAACCAAAAAGGAACAAAATAGACGAGGCAATGGTGTATGGTGTTGTTATTGAACGCATGCAAAATCTCCCCCGAGTGTTTTCTACACGACACACTTTACGCGGTATGCCTTGTCCAGGCCCTTGTTGTATGTGTCTTGTTTTTTTTTCTCTTTTCTTCATTTGTGTGCTGTTTTACCCAACGCCAGACTTGCCATCCTCCGTCACCAGCTTCCGTATCAACTCGCCATTCGCCCTCGACCCCATGCCCTTCCACATTCCCTGACGGCTCATCAGCGCCCTCCGGCATCCTCTGCGTTTCGCCGTCTCAGCTAATGTTACCTTATCCGTGCTGCCCGCCCCCTTGCACACGACTGATACCACAACTCCCGTTCCTCTTAGCCTACATCTCGCTTCTCACCTTGTCCGCCTTGCTCCATTCTCCCTGGGATGCCTTCCCTGTCCCCTTCACAGCCATGAGGAGTGCCTAGGATGGCGGTGGCACCGGCGGCATAGCCGTATCCGGGCCCCGCTTACCGCTACCACCGGTGGGCCATGCACCATGCGGATGGGGAGGCCCAGCGTTAGGCGGAAACGGGTGGTCGTTTCCGGCACCTCGCCCACGGCCCCAGCCCCTGCCGAATGCTGCGGCCCAAGCCCCTCTGCCTACCGAAAACCCGCCCGGTGGCGCGGGCCCTCTACCAGGGCCTGCGCCCCACTGGAAGTTGTTAGGGTCGTTCGGCGAGAGTATGGGGACGGCCGGTATGGGCTGGGCATGCATCACGGGCGGTGGCGGGACGTGGATAGCATGTGGGGGCGGCGGCGGCGGCGGCGCGGGCTTCGGCTTCGGGCCGTGATGATGGTGGTGGTGGTGGTGGTGTTGGTGGTTGCCCCTCGCCGCCCCGTCTCCCTCGCCGCTGGCGCCCCGCCTCGTCTCCTTCTGATCCCTCCTGCCATCCCTCCTCTGCTCTCTGCGCTCCCTTCTTTGCTCCCTACGCTCCTTCTTCTCCTCTCTCCGCCTTGCGCGGCGCTCCCGCCGCTTATCCTTGCGGGCCGCGCGTTGCTGGCGCTTGAGTTTGCGCCACTCCTGAGTCAGGCCCTTGAGCTCCGCCTTGAGGGCCTTGTCGTCGGCTCCCTCCGGCGTATCGGCGACAGATGGGTCATCCTGCTTCAGTTTCTCCGGTGCGCCGCTTGCGGACTGCGCGGAGTGGATCTCGTCACACAGCTGCGCGACATCGGTCTTTGTGACGGGCTCGTCCGGGTGTGCGAGCCACGACGCCACGCGCTGTTTGTAGACGGGCAGCTGAGCGGGACAGAGGTCCTCATAATCAGGCAGGGAGCCGACGGAAGATGTGGACGACGTGGAGGAAACGGAGGAGGCGGAGGAGGATGCCGAGATGGAGCGTTGGTCGGAGGGGTACCGGCCATGTGGGCGACCACGAACCCCGCTTCCGCTGCCGAGGCGGGCGTGAGCGTGGTTGTGCGGGTGAGGCCGCGGAGGGAACGGGCCAGGGCCAGGGCCAGGTCTGGGCCCGAACATGGGCACAGGCGAGGGAGCTGATGGTGCATGTGGAGGTGGGGGAGCCCAGTTCACATTCGGACCGACGAAGTGAGGCTGCGCGCGGGGTATCGTGTTGCTCCCGAACCTTATACCGTTCTCATCCGCAATCAAGTTCCCCAACCTAATGCCGTTGCTGTCTGCAACAATGCGGTCCCCAATCGAGATCCCGTCCGTCGTCACCGTGATGCCGCCAAAGCTCCAACCACCCCGGGCCTCGCTCGGACCCGGGCCAGGCTGCATTTCGGGACCTATGCCCGCGTGAGGTCCCGGGGGCGGCATGGGCGTCGCACCGCCGCTCCAACTGCCGCTCGGCATGGCCGAGTTGTCGATGCTCCCGTCGAGCGAGCGGTCCCAGGCTCCGGGCAGACGGAGCTCCTCGACCTCGGGGGTGAGCATGACAGCCAAGCCCCTCGGGCGGAAGAAGCCTTCGTTCCACTGGGCGACCACGGCTTCCACGTCCTCCCTCCTCGGTCCTGACGCAGCGACCGCTGCGCCGGGGTCGGTATCTGGGTCGGGACGGATTCGGTCCAACTGAGCGGAGGCGTGGCTGCTGCTGATGCTCCGCGGGCCGCCGGGGCTGTTGTCACCACTTCCGCCATGCGACGCGGCAGCGGCGACGGCCTCTTCCTCGGCCTGCAGCTTGCGATTGATAACAGCCTCATTCCGCGCGACGGCGTGGTGCGGGATCAGGCAGTTGGTAAAGGTCGCCCAGTCCTGCTGCGTGACGTCGCGGGCGGCCCAGGTGGGGGGGCAGGGCACGTCGTCCGGCGTCGAGGACTGGGTCACGGTGAGTAGGTGGACGAGCTGCTGGTCCCAGGGGGAGAAGGCGGGCGCAGGTCTGGACTCGAAGTAGGCGGCGGCGAAGACCGATTGCGCCGACACGGCGGACGGGGCGGCGGCGGCGGCGTGCGCGTGGTTGGCCAGGTTCGGGTTTGAGTTGTGGTGGTGAGGAGCAGCCGTGCTGCCTGTACGGGGTGTCAGGGGCGGGGTGTAGATGACATCGCTCCGGGACGATGCGTGCGAAGAGACGTGCGAGGCAGCGTCGTCGCCATGGTGGGACTGTACGAGTGGCGAGTTCAGGGACGGATTCGAGTGCCGCCCAGAGACCGAGTAGATGTCCGTCTCGGAGTATGGCGGAGGCGGGACGTCGTCCATGTCGGCCTCGGTCTCCCGCATGGCCATGCGCTTATGATGTTGGTGCAAAATAGGGGAGGCGTGAAGCCCGGAGAGCTGCGGAGCCCTCTGTGTTCACAAATGGGGTCTGAGCCTTCGGCACGATCTGTATTGTTCAAGGCCCTTGCAGTTTCGAGATGTTTAGTAGATGCTCAGGAGAAGATGGATGGATCGAAGGGGGGACAAAGGCTAAGGTTAAGGACACACGCCAGACTTATGAATA